TTGACAGCTTGTTGCTAAGCCCCGTAAGCAACCAACAGCTGCAACACGAAAGTCCTACATACAACAATAATAAACAACTAAAAGTAAATCGTCTTGTTGAACCCATCATCTATCAAGTAAAATACTCTTGAACCTCCAATTTCCAGATTGGGATGGTCTCACAAACTTAATAAATTCATTCTTAGTGAGAGGAGTTTTTCCCGAATGCGAATTCAAAACTGTGATAATTATTTGTCTTCGTGGAAGGGAAGGAAATCGATTCATGCCATTTTTTTTCAAACATTGCATATTATCATCAACAACTGCACCAATGATGCCAAGTTTTCGTCACTTCATGATGTTTACTTCTCGTTAAATAGCAATGACCCCACTGCTACAGTCTTCTGTGACTATGTATAAGCGATTGATTGTGTGAGTCACAACATTTTGATAGGAAAGCTGAACTTTATTAAATGCGTGGTGTTTCTTCCAACTAGTTTAACTAAAATCTTGAAAATCGGCGACAATTTGTCAGAGCGAACGGATCTGTTCCTGGTTGTAGATTAACTACGTGTGGAGACCCCACCGTTCTGTAATTGGGCCTATTATTTTCTGGTGTACAATAATGAAATTACTTACACTTAAGTACTTTCCGCCGCTTAAGCCAAATTTCCGTCTTTGCTGACGACGGAAGCATAAGATGAAGTGATTTTGATACTGTGTCTCTTAAGTCTAAGATTTTTAAAGATTTTGTGACGACCAAAGCTTAGTCTGATTCTAATTTTCCAGGTTTTAGTGTTGATCAAACGGTAGCATAGTCTTATGCAGGAGCCGTACAAACTTTGCTAGTTTACAGCAACAAATTTAAATACGTTGAGTCGGTGCAATTTCTGGGATTGAACATGCTTATCTTAAGTGAACCGCTTATACTCCCTTCCGCTGATTTTCCAACGTGATGAGTTTTGAAAATGCTGAATGGTGTTAGGCACCAGACCCGCTTACTTGGCTCTATTTCAATTTCCTACCAGCTTCGGTCTTCTAACACCAGTTACGCCATCAGCCCAAGACACCTTCCCACAGTTCCCACGGACACAGCCAAGTCAGCGGCCAATTCCAGGGAAACACATATTTCCGTTCTCACGG